TCAATGCCGGGTGCGAGGAATAGACTGTTACCTCGTGTGCCGCGCAAAAGTTGGGGAAACTGCCGTATCGAGTACACTCAGCCCTTGGCCAGTCCCCAGCAGTCCAGCTTCCTCGGCATGCAAGGGTGTCTACCCAATTGAACGGTCTTCGTAAAGCGCGCAAGATACCTTACGAGGTATGAACAACCCCCCACCCCCCTCCGAGGTAACTAACTTGCATTTCATTCGTGAGAGACTCCCGGCCGTCAGGCTTTTCGGCCCAGTATGGGTGGGGAGAATGGGGGAGCATTCATGATCATCATTATGTCTTGAATAAAATGCATAGCTGACTGACGCATGCTACTTTAGCCTACAGCTTGGGGGGCGAGGGCCTCTTCTCTGCTCCCAAGCCCTGTACGGACGCCCATACGGACTCTTTATGGACGGGAAGTCGGGGGAGGCGCAGTACTTCCACATCTCCCAGATGATTACTGTTCAAGAACAGTACCTCGCGAGAAGTAACAGCAGTCTAGCCCCCTCTCTCGCCCAAGCCAAGGCACGGCAGCCCAGATGATTTCTTGACTCCCAACGCAACCCTATCTCCATCCACGACACATTCAACATCGTACCTACCCCCATCCCACGAGGAGAGCGGTAAAAGCTCTAAAACTACATACGTCTCCCTCTGCAGTTCATAGCCTGCCGTAGACGAGGACATCGACCGAGGCAGAAGAGTAGTACATGTAAGTGCGCTCACGGTTCGCCTGTGCTTTCCCCAGGCGTCCAGAGTGGCGTAAATGAATCACGCGATAAATCTTATTTTATGCTTTCCTTCTCTCTGGCCCCCCTTCTCTTTCTCTACCTCTCCCGCATATGTAGCCGATCATTAGATAGTTAGTGTATAGAGCACTAGTAACTAAGTTGTGGGAGATTGGCCGTTTGTCTAATCTCACCACTTCTTTCTTTCTTTTTTTCTTTCCATCGATCTATCTAGAACTTCCAGCGTAAATCGTACGGGATACTTCATGCGGATCAATATTAAGTTAAAACTTCCCAGAGACGCGCGCGCGATCAGACACCCAGCCCCAGTCTTCTAGATCAATTCTTCCTCGCTCCCCTCGCCCTCCCCCCTTCCCCTTCCCCTCAAAGTTTCTCGACGTAGATCGTCGCACGCCTCCACGTAATATCACAGCGCGTTAATCTGCCTAATCTCGTAACCCCCAAATGTCCCATCTTTTCTTAGTCGTCGGTCAATTGTGATAGACACTGTTTCTCCGCGGGATTTGATGGTTATCTCTGTACAGTATCTGTCTACTACCGTATGTTCACCTATTAGACCTAATCAATGATTACCGTAGCTAGGTAGCTAGCTACCCCCCGGGCGTGGCCAAGCGTAGCCTGAATCGAGTAGGGAATAGCGAAGACAGTGTGAGTAAAGTGAGTGACCTAAGCAAAAAAAAGAAAAAAATTAAATCAAGAGAAAAGAAAAAAGAGAACTCAGAGGAAACTTAATGACTGAGCCTGAAGGAGAAGGGGGGGGGGTCTCGCTCATCGAAACTTTTTTTTCCTTGGGGGGGTCGCAAGGCTGATGAAATCACACACAGAAAGATGAGGGAACAAGCAGCCGCTTGAGTTTGGTAGTGTAGTGTGTGTAGTATGTGGTTCGGGCGTTTCTGCCGTACCGGAGTACGGGTGGACGAGATCTTCTTGATCGTGAGTTTTTGGGCATGTCCATAGGCTAGCCACACCCCGAATACAAATCATACTTCGTTGACTTACTGTCGGGGTTTTTTTGGTGGGGAAATACGATTTGGTTTCTGGGTGATTTGGAGGGGGGGGATGGTTGTGTATGCAGGTATTGTGGAGGTGGTTCTTGCTCGTAATCATGTTCATTTTGGAGTGTAGTGCCCTGTACATACAGACGGGGTAGAGTAGGTAAGGTGGTTTAAGGGAGGTGAGATTTGTTCACTTGCAGCTGGACTTCAGTCGCTTGGAGCTGGAGAGGCACAGGGCTGTGATTACATAGCTATCTTCTTATGAATTCACTACGGAGTAACTGACTAACCAACTAACTACCTCATTACCTTTCCACAGCTCTTAGACAAGGAATTGATTGGAGAGACACAGAAAAATATTAGGGAGAAGAAGAACCAAATATGGGTCTGGCTGCCAATGAAACGCTAAGTGAACGGGCCAAGCGCTAGGTACTTACTCACTACTTATCCACTGCATCAAATGATTCACGACTCACGAGTCACGACTCATTCGGATAATCCACTTCGCATCGGATCCGTTACTTCGACTTTGCCCCCGATCGAAAAGCGCACCCAGCTCGGGACGGGGGGAGAGACAGGAATGTGGAGCCCACACTGACCACCCTTTACCCCACTTGCGGCGCAGGCGGTTTCGAGCCTGTCTTCGACTGTTTACCCGCTTGGGATAGTTAGACCGTCGGCTGGAGAGGCGCCCCCCTCTGGTTTCGGTTCTGCGCCTGCCAGCGTTAACTTACTCGTATTCAAAGTATTCCGACCGGAGCTACTTAGCAGGTAGGGCTGCGCTGGGCTGCGCTGGGCTGCGCTGGGCTCTGGGGCTACACGCCTTTCGGTAACTCATGCGATGGGTTGACAATTTAACGTCTACTTATGTGTGATGAGGTGCTATCTATGCATAGTTCCAATCCGGGAGATCCTGTCCTGCTTATCATACTCCATTGCGCGAAACCGGATACTTCAAGAGAAGAGGAGCGCAAAAGGAGATCAAAAAAGCAACAAGAAAAAGGAGACCGATCTCAAATCTTAGACATTGATAGATATTCCTCAGTACTCCTTACTGGGTGCTGTATGTACACAGCACTAGAGGTGGTACCTCCCTCCGTACAATAAATTTAGCATTCGTGCTGCAAGTGCTACCTACAAGTCGACTTAACTTACCTACCGTGATCCTATATTGGAACTATGGAGCGAAGGAATGTGACGGGTGGGGACGGACCACTATGATCCTACGATGATACTATCACCCACGCCATGCCGCCATCTCGGCCGGACTGAGACTGATCGTTTGTCTTTTTTTACCCTTTTCTCTTCGGTCCTTTCGCATAGCCCTAAGCTTTGCCGCCAATGTAGCGCTTCAAGTCTTAGACTAACTAACCCTCAATTCTCTGACGCTATCTTCTAGTCTACCGGTAGTCTACCAGACGAGATAAGATTACGAGGCCGTCACCAGTCGGGTCATTCCGAAGGACCCGAGAGTCGAGACCCTTTTCTCCCCTTCACGGTTTGGAGGGAGCTCCATACCGGCGATTTCGCTTGAGAGGGAAGAAAAAGTAAGTAAGTTTTACGAGGCATTCCTCTCCTTTTTTGCTTCTTGGTAGGGGCGGTAGTAACCCGAGTTCCCGAATGTGACGGCTGAGGTCATCACTGTCCCCCGTCCATCGTACCATTCTTGGATGACCAGCAGGTTTTTCTTTTTTTTTTTAAATAAAAGAGAGAGAAATGAAAAAGAGAAGCTCACTTCCGGAGCGACTGAAGCTACTACGTATGTTAGTGCTAGTTAGCTACCTTGGTTAGGGGGCTTTCTTCTCAAAGCTGCGGAGAGCAGCAGCAGCAGAAAAGCTTCAAATCCCGAACTCAACCACCCAAGCTACTAGCTCTGACTTTCTTTCTCACTAGTAGCACGAAGTCATGCCTCCCCCTTCCCTCCCATTGTTTTCCAGGTGCGAGAAAATTCTATAACACGATAACAATCACCTTGTACGCCCAAACAGTTTCAGAGAGTATAGTATAAGTTACCGGTAGATCTGTAGGTAAAGGTATGCACATAAAAGTTAACTCTATACCTGACTATACCCCATCAATGATTCATCCCTTCCCCCCTCCCCCTGGCTCTGACATTCTCCTTCCTTTCCGTCATGTACTGTACACTGTTATTCATACTTCAGATTTGCTGGACATAAGACTCCTTCCTAAACCGATCAGCCCCAAGAAAAAGCAAAATGCAACCACAGCAACTAAACAGCTGGAGCCTTAGCCGAGAAGAGTCTATACCCGTTTGATGCCCAGGCCGGATTTTGCCGTCAATCAGATGCTCGCCGGCTTTATTAGGCAGTACATTTCCGAGTCGGAGATCGCTGCATGGAGTCATACTCTCCACCTACCTAATTTTTGAGTATAATTGCTGTCGAGGAGATGCGCTGTGCTGGCGGTTACTGCTGCATGCAGGAGGAGGTGAGAAAAAAGATACTGTGCATATTGTCTATGTATTGATTGACCTGGTAACCTCAAAAAAGGGGGGTTCTAACTACGGAGTACGTTGGCTGCAAGTAGATTCGTTTTTTCGAGAGGTGCACTGCAGTACATATAGGAACATCTAGGGTATACCCTTTTGATGCATTATTGCACGTCTCCCTGTGGATTGTACATATGTACTGTACTACTGCACCATCGTATACTTAGAGGAGACGTAGCTAGAATACTGTCCTGTATATCTACTGACATCGAATATGACCTCGGCCTTGATCGAATATGCATGAGTATATCATTGATATAAGTCCTAGCTTATCTCTCCCCACCCCACCCCACCCGAGGCGCACCCCCCCACATCCCAGGATTAGAAATCAGTGCGTGGGAGGACGTTAACTATTGTCAGGCATGTAGTTAATACTGTATGTGCCTAAGCGAAGAGCATAACTTACGACATAGCACGATCTTTCCCCTCCCCTCCCTTACCCTTACCGATCGGTAATAATGAATGAGATTGTTTTTCGCAGAGTTTGTCGGATGGGTTTGCCGAGAGGACCCTGCCTAGCCTCCTTCCCTCCTTCCTTCCTTCCTTCCGTCTGAGGTATCCATCGACTGATCAGCTGTATGTAACTTAGTAGCTCCTTCCGTTTCGCTCACCTTCTCCCTCATTGAAAATGATCAGTACTACTACATGCCTATCTCAGGTGCATCATACCGACCTCCTCCCAATCACGCCATACAACCCTCTCCATCTACTCCAGTGTATGCGCATACACATCCAGCTCTAGAGAAGAGAGCAACCACTACAAAACAAGAACAGAGCAAGTGGGTCACAGCAAAGTGGAGAGAGAGAGAGAGAGAGAGAGAGAGAGAGAGAAGGCAACTATTCTATTGTGTCTTTTCTGCAGGACTTCTGCAGCATCTCACATAATGAGTTTGTCCGTCGCTGGTTTCTTTTTCTCCTCTTTCCCCCCCTCTCATCCCCTCTCATCCCTTCTCTCATTTGCTGGCCTTTGTTTGCCAATCTGCAGCAGGAGATTCTGGACCCTCAAGGAGCAGGGAAAGGTCCAATCATCAAAAGCCATTGCAGAGATAGAGAGAACAGAGGACTAACCTGTTTGCTCCGGAGTTCTAGGTGGGCCCTGTCAACAGGACTATTGTTCATTCTGCACAAGCATTACAAGCACATGATTCGTCTACCTTTCGTCTACCTTATTCGTTCGCCTCCCACCCCTCCACTGCAATTGTTGCCAGCTCGCTAGAAGCCGACCAGTCAGATTGGTAAGATGATATGGTCAGGAGGGATGGTCGGCACGGCCAGGGCCGTAGGGGCCGTCGGGCGGATGGGACAACAGACACGCGGCCGGATGGCGGATGGACGGAGATCCTAGCAGACCGAATCCAGACGGGGAACAGGGCTTCGATGGAGAGCCCATCTAGACAGCTGGAGGCACGAACAAGACCGTCCTAGGCAAGGCAAGCGCAAGGCAAGGGGACGTGCCATCGTGCCCGTCGTCGTCAACGTCCTTTCTTCCATCCACCCACCCATCCACCCTATTTCTGCTCTGCGCTCCCCTGTCCTGCCAGTCGGCAGTGCTTTCCACCCACCCTCTCCACCGTTACATCACTGTCGCCCTTTCCCCTTCCCCGGGGAAGCTAATCTAGCTGCCGCCACCTGCAGTTACGGACGTGCAGAATGTTAGGCCTGCCTGATGCAGGACCCGACTTCATTAGTGCAGAATATTTGACAGGTGACTGCGACCAAAAGGTGCTGACGCTTGACAGGGGTTATTCACCGTGCTAAATAGTCCACCTATAGCTAGGTGACTGTCGCGCAGAAGAAGAAACAAATAGTTAGGTGCAGATCGTGGAAGTCGCTTCAATTCACCCTGGGCTGTTTATTCCTCCTGTCGCTGATCCATCCGCTGTGCAGCAGTCTCGACAGGTCTCATCCTATGGGGAGGTGACCACACTTCTGTACTTTGCATGGCAACTCGTGTCGAGGCAGAGGAAAAAGGTATATGCAGAAACAGGTGTGTCGTTGCTCCGTTCTTGGTTAGTTATCTGAACTATTCGCAGTGCGAGCAAGCTGTCAGCAGGGAACGAAAAAAGCGACTATCGAAAGTACTGACATGAACCAGGCTAGACCTATTCGTATGCCATATACCACAAGCGCAAATCTTGTAGACGCGGTATACATTTCGGGGAGAACACAAGATGGCGGCGGAAAGTTACCCTCTTCTCGATCGCTAGACGGGTTAAAAGTCTATGGTCCGATCTGAGAAAAGCTTCAGCGGGACCGATCCTATCAAGCTTCAGGCCTAATCGAGCGGGAGAAGCCGTGATTCCGATCCCCTAAAATCGACCATTAAGGTTCCCGAGTCGACTGAGCTTGTTTCCTTTTCTGGTAGGTATCTAATTCAACTTGGAACAGAAATACTCTTGATTGAAATGTAGGCAGGCCCTGTGTGAACTGAACTAGCTAGCGAACTTCAAGCGTGGCGTATGATGATTCCGAAAAGAAAATTCAGTATATGCTCCCTCCCCCCTTTCCTTATCTATGGTTTGTATTTGGTTATTCCGAATGCCTGTAACGCCCTGACCTCTCTCTAAACCAGAAGAAGATATTCGGAGCACAAGGGGAAACAAAAAGGAAAGTAGAAACTGTATCCGGTGCCCCAACCCAAGCAATTCCAGTCGAAGCAAAATGAGATGTGGAAAAAAGAAGTTGTGTGTTAAGACAAGGTAGGTAGGCCAGAGCACAAGACTCTGACGAGTGAGAAGATTGGGGAGACAGTTAGATAGATAGATGTGCGTAGTAGGAGGTATGAAACGACACGTCCGGCTGCATTCACGGACAGGGGTTTGGGCTTGGGCTTGGAAGCGGTCCAGCAGGCAAACAATAAGACGAGTCCAAGTCAGCTCATACCTATGAAGCACCGCCCGCCCCCCCTCCCTGCTGCTTCAGACGACAACAACCCCTGCCGGATAAATGGAACATGCCAGGTCTTTTCAAGCGGTCAAGGAATCTTATAGTAGTCACAATCAAAGATCCGCTTTAGAGCCAATCCGCTTTTGTCCAATGCAAACACGTATCAGGCGACGAATGTGACAAAAAGCAAATCGATTCTAATGCCCTTTAATTTGGACCAGACGGTGTAGAGGTTGTCCCGGGCTTAGGCGCCACCGCAGGTGGTCCCAGCGGCGGGATGCGGTTGAGGGAAGGCGACGACATGATCGATTGCTGGCCGTTCAGTTGCGCCGCCTGCTGTCGCAGGGCATTCTCCCTCTGCCGGCGCTCCTCTTGCTCCGGGGTCATGCACTTGATTGGCGGCGGGATCGGCGCGTCGGGCGAGCTTCGGCCCATCAACTTGGGGCTGGGCTCGAGTTTCTGGATCGGCGGAAGGACGGGCGCGCCGGCGATGCTGCCCGAGGTCATGGGCCTGGGCGACTGCTTGGTCGGGCTGATCCCGGAGAAGGGCACGCCGTGCGAGCTCTGCGGCGGCGACGACCGGCTGCCACCACCGCCGGTAGGTGTGGCGATGAAGGACGGTCGGCCGTTGCTGAGTGGGGGCAGCGGGACATTGCTGTTGCCCGTGTTGGGGCGTGGAGTCTGATGCTGGCCGTGCGGTGTCCACGGAGCCACATGGTCCGACGATGCCCCGGGCGGAAACCCTGCAAGCGGACCGACGTCGCGGTTGCCCTGGGTCGGTGACATAGAGGGACGGTTTTGGATGGGAGACGGAAGGGTTGGGCTGTGTACGGAATGAGATGACGATGGGCGCCGTCCAAAGAGACCGCCGCCAGTGAAGGATTCACGACCGTTAAGCGGCAGCTGCATTGAAGGAAGTTTGGGGGGCAGTTCCTTGGATGCTGGAGTAAAGCCATTCATGCCTTTTGACGGGGAGAATGGAGCCCGAGGGGAACTCAACGGCGCTGCATGCGCAGACGAGGGTCGGCGCTCGGGAGATGCCGGGGGCAAAGAGGGAGATTGATCGGAAGTCTGAGAGATCATGTGTGGTAGGGATGGTAACTGTTTTGAAGGAGATTCAACTGAAGGCATGGGGCCAGTAGACGGAGCTCGTTTCGTGGCTGGAAGGGGGGATGTTTCCGCGTCTCTGATCTTCTGCTCGCCGCCGGCAGCGCCTGAGGGTGAAGTTGAGGAACCGAGTCGGAATTTCAACGGCGGAATCTTGGGCTTCTTCGCCTCCTCATCGCGCCTCTTGCAGTCATCGCAGACAAAATGGAAATCTTCGCGCTCGGCCTCGTGTTTGGGGATACCAAGACACTTGCTGTGTTGCCACACATTGCACTTTTCGCATGCGACGCTATGAGAACCATCATCCTACCTTGGATTAGCAGACGCGTCTTATCATCGGCGCTTGAGACTTACCAGATTCTGACCGTGGACACCGCAGCCCGAGCAATCGAATGTCCACTGATCTTCTTGGGAAAGATCTTCGAGATTCTTCCGATATCTTTCCATCTCAGCCCTGAGATGCCTCTCGGATGCTCGACTCTCGCCTCGCTCGACCTTCTTGTGCTCTTCCTCAATGCGCTGCAATTCGTTTTCGTGCAGAATCCGCTTGCGCTCGCGATCCTTGGTACGCTGCTCACGAGTGATGATGCGCGAGCGTCTCTCTGTCTCAAGCTTCTTCAGTCTTTCTTCCTCCTTGAGAGCCGCGGCTAATTCAGTTTCCCGTTTACGCGATGCCTCAATAGCCTCGCGCTCTTGTCTCTCTTTCTCCGCCTTTCCGGCAAGTCGACTGGACCGCTTGGCGCCCGCAAGCAGCTGCATGTTGGCAAGCTCCTTCTCACGCTTGACCTTTTGTCGCTGATGGGACTCTTCTTCCTTTTCGATGATGGGAAGGACCTGCTCCACAATCCGATCACGGAGAATCTTCTCATCGGGATCCCTGGTCTTTTGGATCGTCTCCAGGAATTGCCGGTAGTCCGAGAGGGTGATAGCAATGCATTCCCACTGCATATCTGCGAAGGGATCCTTGGAAACTTCCCCGTCCGCAGCACCATCATTCTCCTCTTCGGACTCTTCCACAGGGTCAACCCCAGTCACCTTTCTCCGTTTGGACGCTCTGACCGCCCGGGCGCTCTTTCTCCTAGACTTGCTCTTGACCGGCTTGGGTGCTGGGATCGGGGGATCGGTCCGACGATAGAGTCTGTTGTCGTCCAGGATGTAATAGTATCGTCCATCGCGATCGTAGCCTATCTCTTCAATGCGCTAGGAACGGAATCCGAAAGGTGAGCGACTTGAGCATCACGAAATCTCTCCGCAGGGAGGCACCTACCCATTGTGTCTGATCCAACTCGCGCTGTTCCGGCATCTTGTCACGGATGCGGTCGGGGTTCCAGAAAGTCCAAATGGACAGCTGGTGGAGAACGCGAAGCTTCAAGAACACATCAAACTCCAAGAACTTATTGGGTACCTCGTCATATCCAAAGGGATTCGTGATATGGGGGGCCTTCGCGTTGTACTGGCGTCGCGTATACTCATCGAAGTTGTCGAACCTAAGAGCAGCAAGGACATGGCGTCAGCAGTAACACACAGGTAAGTTGGGTCCAAGACGGTGACGTACGTGAGGCCACGATGCGACGACACCCATTTGAGGAGACAAAGTCCGATCTCCAGGAGTTTTTCTGACGACTCCGGCTTCATACACTCATTTTCTAGGTCCTAGAAAGCAAACGCGAAGCGCAAAATGTCAGTTGTTTGCGAAGAAAGCGCGACCGGAGGATTAGAGAATAGCAACGAGAGCAGCTCGGGCCAAAGAAAAAAAAATAATAAATGAAGGGAACCTCAGCCGCACGGATGATGCACCCATACCTCAATTCCAAAATCCTCATCAATCTTCATAGGTTTCCCAAAAATGGCGATGTACTGCATGAGATTCGCAAATTCCCAGCAGTTCCGCAGCCTCTGAAGGAGGCCCTGTTCCTCAGGTGGCTGCTCCGGAGCAGCATCCACCTCGGAGAGGGCGCGCTTTCGCGATACCATGACGGCGGATCAAGACCATCAAAGGCGCCGCAGCGCAAGACAAGGTTCCGACGGGAGCGGCGAATCCGCTTCTGCAGTGCGAGGGGGGAGATTTTGTGATCGGTTGGAACGTAAGTAATGTATGATATGATACGTGGGAGATCACGAGAGTAAATTGCACAGAAGGTGGCTCAATGTAACAAGCGGAGGGGAGGGCAAGGGCGTGATCGACGGGATGGTGGGTAGTTAGTAGTTACTGAGTAGACACAGGAAATCGTTCGCCAGGGCGGGCGGGCGTGTGTTCGTTCGGGGCTGGGCTGGCTGAAGAGATGAATGAGCTCACAGTCCCGTCCGTCTGATTGCGGCGCGTCGAGACCCCGGTCAGGTGACGTGGTTTGGTCTGGTTTGGTTTGGTTCGTTTGATAGTGGCGCATCGATAAGCCCTTCATTCCAATATTGATTCACCCCTCTGTTCAAGGCTGCAGGCTGCGCTTCTGTAAATAGTAGATTTTGATATTAACTAAGAATAAAGAGGAAGTATGCATGCGATGGTAAAGAAAAAATAAAAGAAAAGTAAAGAAAAGAAAAGAAAAAAGAGATGAAGCCCATCAACAACAATTGCGCATATTATAGCCAGATGGAAGTTTTCACACAGCAGACAGAAGCAGAACCAGCTTAACACAACAGAAAGTAAAAGAAGGAGGAATAAAAACAACAACTAAATCTTGGTATCTCGCTCAAAGAGGGTCTATCTCACTCAGATGGAGGATGTGGAAAGGGGATCATAGAGGAGAAGCAAAATGCACAAAGACAAATAGCGCCATCCGTATCCACGCCACCGCACAGCCAAACCATTGTGACCGAAATGGAAAAGAAGTGTTCAACACTGGGGGCAATGTAAAAGAGAAACAGGGGGGGAAGAATGAAGTTATAACAAAATCACAGCAGGCCCAGAACAGATAAGCCCAGACAATGCGAATAGAAAACAGCAAACCCTTTGATAACATTGGACACAGAAACCCCAAGCGCAAGCGGTGGTCCCCTACCTAGATTTTTTCCCTTCCCTCTTGATCGCCTTCATCTCCATCCTCTTCCGGTGGGTTTTTTTTTATCTCGATCTTATATTTTCATCTCGTCAATGCATTGCCATACCATGAAGTTTGCGCCTTGTAATCCATGTTTCGCCTAGAGCCGGTCCCATGCATGTCATAAGGTGGTCAAATATACCAAGTAATAAATCAAAAGAAAAAGAGATGCTTTTGAGACTTTTTACATGGCAACACCCGGTGCGCCGTCGGAGACATTATCCGAGAGGTTGATGAGGAGCTGCGCGAGGCAACGCTTGGTGGCAGCGTCATCACGGAGGACGGAGGAGAAGGTCGCATCTCGCAGCGGTTCGGGAAGACACTGTCGCAGAGCTTCCCGCGCTCTGCTGTTGTCGCTCAACCTGTTCAACCGTTAGCACGTGTGATTCATGCGGGGCGGGGTATGACGGAGAAAGTAGGCTTACCGAAGGAAACAACGTACGACATGTTTGAGAAGTCGAACAGTCTGTTGCTCCACAAGTTGAGTAACCATATTACTTAAGACGGTACCCACGGCATAGAATCTTTCGTAGGTCGCGCAGATGTACGCCAGGCCGATATCGTCGAGGAGGATTTTTTGCACAATGAAAATCGCGACCGTCTTGCTCAGCTCGGAGCCCGTCTCCATGATGCGAAGGCAGAGGGGGATGATTTCGGTGGTGAGAAGGAAGTTGATAACATCAGAGGAGTCATTCTTGACCAGGGCTCCGATCACTCCGAGCGAGGTGAGACGAAGGTACTCGAAAGGGCGCGACTTGGATGTCGTGTTGAGGAAGGGGTATAGAAAAAGGGGAATGTGCGCTATGTGAGCGAGAGCGATGAAATGTCAGAAGTGCTTCATGGCTGTGAGACTTTCAGAGGGCCACGTACCGTTAAGAAATAGAGTGCGGGTTTCGTTGTGGGAAGCGACACACTGAAGCAGAGCCAGCGCATTGCAAACTCGATTCGAGGCCGCGGCAGTGAGCTGAGAAGGATTCAACAGCGGGTATACAGAGATGATCTCTTGAAGTAGTGCAGTCATGACTCCTAGAGGTCCGGATCATGTTAGTTGCCACCCAGATTGGTGAAGCAGGCCAGCATCGAGACCATACCGAAAGAATGCCAAATCACCAGCGCGAGCTCCGGAACCTGCTCTCTCTTCTTGCTGAGCTCCATGAGAGCCGCCTCTCTGCGATTCGGATCCAGGAGTTCTGCGACCCAGATGAAGACCTTGCGGTTCTCATCGCTGATCCCGCCATCCATTACCGACACCGCACCCGACAAAGCACCATCCCCACCTAACCCTCCAGCACCGGCTCCCTGGGAAGGGTTACCAGCACCGGCATTTCCTGCCATAGCGATCCGGGTGTAGTGTTGTTGTTGAGCGGCGGCGGCGGCGGCAGCGGCCGCCTGAACTTGGGCATGCTGTTGGGCGGCCAAAGAATGCTGCTGTTGCTGAGCCTGGTGCGGGTGGGCTTGGTGGTGCTGCTGCTGCTGATGTTGCAGCCACGAGGGATCAGCCTGCGGGTACTGATGCTGATGAGAAAAAACGTGCTGGGTCTGCGTTTGAAGCATGACGGGGTTGGCGAAGACTCGGAGCACAACGGGGACTCGTAATCCTCAGGAGGGAAGACCTTGGAACAGCCCTGGGCGGATAAAAACCGGACTAAGACAGGGAATATCGAGGGGAGTGTTCAGAGTGTGTCAAGAAGCCAAGCTCGAGATTGTACTCATGGATATAGGCTATGTACACTGGGTGTGTATGTAATCGTGGGGGGTGGAGGTTGTGGTGTTTGGGTGGGGGCGAAGTTGATTTGAATGTCGAGGTGGTGGTGAGGAGGACGGAGGGTGGAATTGATGAATGAATGAATTGGAATGGACTTCCAGTTGGGACTTGAACTTGAGACTACGGGAGGCGGGGAGGCACTGGTTCCGCCCGGGCAGTTTGTGCCGTGCTTACTACTACCACGGAGTACTGAGAGAGGAGTAACTCAGTAACTACAGTACAGTAGTAAACTAGTAGGAGGAAGAAGCCGACCCTCGGAGTTTCGCCTGGACCCTTTTCTTGGAACAACTCCCCGAGTCCCAAGATCTGAGACAAGTCAATGATCGCCCTCCTTCAAGCAATGTGATACATGCTTTGCTTTTTTCTTTCTTTTTCAGACCGGAGTACGGAGTACTTGAGTCGACCCCATGTCATTTTCCTCCCAGCCCGTCCTCGGACCGTTGATAGGCGCCTTGCAGGTTACACCGTGAGAAATGCGCACGAGTTGATCTGGCAGGTGCATGATTATCTTTGTCGCCAACTCGGAACTCAAGCAATAGGTACGATCGGAAGCAGTACTCTCAGGCTCTCAGGCTCGATGCAGCTTGTGCGTGTGGCCATCTTATTTGCCGGCCTCAGAGGGAATAGTACTATACTGTACACCGGTACGGAGTACATGCCGGCAAAATGCAAGATAACAAAACAGCATATTTCCGGTCTACAGCTTGCTCACCTTTTTTTCATTGTCTTCAAAGCAATCTCTGATTAGATTCTCTCATATCTTTCATTGATTTCATATTTACATCTGCCTTCCCAGGTCTTCCATCGATTGGGAAAAGAAACATCGCAATCATCCGAAACATTAGCACATCGCAGGGGTTTGCATAACAACATGACAACATAAGGCATCATCATACATAGAAAGTCCTTCAGCGAGAAAACTGAAGAAAACGTCATAATACACACGCCGGGAACCTGATAGAGCGCCGATTCATGCAAACAGCTTGTGAGAATAAGCAAGAAAGAGAAAAGAAGGGGTCCATTGTGACCAGGAAATCATGTTCAAAGTTCGTCGGGTTCGTTCCGTCAATTCATCATCTTCGTGAGCGCGTACGAGATCGTCTGGAGCGTCTTGTCTCTCTTGTGCGCCGGTCATCAGTGATTTCGCTGCCTAAAAAGTATGGGGTCAGCATTCCGAATGACATCAATCTCGCGAGAATGCGCAGCGCTTACCGTCGTTGGTATAATAGTCGGAGTAGTAGTAATAACTACTTGGGTATGTGTAATCCGTCTTCTCATCGTCGTCGCGGTGGTCTCTGCTTCTCTTCAAGCCCAGGCACAGTGCAAGCGCACCCAGTATGATTCCAATGGTAGCCAAACCATTCCAGGAAGATTTCTTCTTCTCCCCTGCAGTCGATGCTGCTGCCGCTGCTGGCCGGCTTCCGAACCAGGTCCGTCCTTCGGGCCGAGCGGCGCCATGCGCATGCGAATGACGATGGTAACGCTCTTCGACGTAGGTCGTCTCCTTTCTCTTTCGACGACCGCAGCCCAGACATGCAAAGAGCGAGTCCAGAATACCACGGCAGCACAGGCAAGCGCATAGTAGCAGCAGCAGGATGACGCCGGCAATTGTTCCGATGACGATGCCTGCAATCGCACCACCACTCAATCCACCACTTGAAGCCTTCATTCCGATCACCGTTGAGCCGGCCGTGTTGACGGGAGCAATGAAGCCCTGGGTGGTTGTTATCGAGGCCGTGTGTGTGGCTGTCGATAAAGTCGTGCCTCGGACGGCCGGCGTGGCAGTCTCCGTGGCCCAGATGGATGTACTTCCCAAGATACACTGGTTGCTGTAGCAGACGTACGCAGGGCCGCAGCAGTCACTACCGCAGATGGTCTCCCCGACGCTGGCATCGCAGCTGGAGCCGGACGAAGTTGCCGAGATATAGCTGCTCCATGTGGAAGTGAACGTAGCAGTCTCCGTCTCGGTTCGGACATAGGTTGTGGTGAAGTACTCCCAGCTGCCGCCGCTGCCAGCACTTACGCACTCGGCTTGGCCATTGCTGTTGGTACTACACGACTCGCTGGAGCTGCAGCAGAGCTGGCTATAGTAGCCGCAGGGATTTGCGCAGCGTTTCTCTAGGACTGTGCCATTGGCATAATCGTGCTCTTCGTATTCCAAGGTCGTCGCGATTGCGGTTGGGGCTGTAGTCGCCGTCGCCGTCGCCGTCGCAGTTGCAGGCGCAGTGTCCGGTGAGATCGCCGTCACGGCCTGAAGGTTTAGTAAAGGGAGTATAGAAATGGACGACTGCAGTATGCGGGACATATGCATGGCGAAGAGAGAACGTCTGATTAGCGATGACAGCCACGAGGGGGGCGTATACTGGGGCTCTGGAATGTTTTCTGAATTCCGATCGCTCTCAGCGATGTCCAGGATTCAGGCTTATCACAACGCCCGTGTCAACGGCCCCGTAGTATGGTAACCGAGCTTCATACAACGGACAAAAGCATACAGTAAACAAAGCCAAGCAATGGACTGGAATGCAACTGTCAATAGTGTGGATATGAGAAAACGAGAAAAATCTCTCCGCGCAAGCAAGAATGAGCAAAGAGTCAGAGAGAAAGAGAAGGCGGGGGGGAGAGAGAGAGAGAGTAAACTGAACTAGACCGAGGAAGAGCTGTTCATGCAGTCGAGTTTCCGACGTCTCCCTTCCTGTCTTTTGATCCCAGCCTCCGTGCCGTCGTCTCCCCAACCACCGCAATTTATGCGACAGCAACCGCCAATCACTGCCAACCCGCAATGAAGGAGCTGGAAGGAGTCATGATTGTCAACTTACCACTTACGCTTCATCAGATTTAAAAATGGAAATTCGGGAGGCTGGGATACCCCCACTCGGTGCACTTGCTGCCCCTCCGGAGTGCACTGGTCAATTGCTCCAGTTCCCACTGCCCCTCCCGTCTACGTCTACGGAGTACTCAGTCTATCATTCACCCGCTGCTTGCTTTCTTGAATTTCTCCCCCTCTTTGCTGGAGGTTCCTGACAGCGTCATCATCCTTTTGCACCAGTCACCCTCATGCTGGGCAAAAATATACGCAAACTAAGGGATTTAGCCTGCGAAACCATGTTTGGGCTCCACCCCTCTAGAGGATTTCTCCGTGACGAGACTGAGAGTCGGTCTGGCAATGGTCTTCCCTGATTTGATGCCCGGGTGGAAGTTCTGTCAGGTACTGACTGCATGTCTGACTCTCTGACCACACACCGTCACAAATCAGGTATTCAGGCATGGAGACCACCGCACCAGCACCTCCTACGTGTCGTCCGAGGACTAATTCAATTCCTTACTTGGGCAGTGATTCTTTTGGCGTATGAGTGATGCAGTAAGCTACCTTGGATCTGACCTATGATCTGTGACCTCCAATCTATACCACGGACCCAGTTTGTTAGTATGTTCCGCTCGTCACCGGTCTAGAAAGCCCTATTTATAACAATGCGTTGGTGAAGCGGTGTGTGGCACCCACCCCGGTATGCGCACATCAGACCAGTATGGATCTCGTTGTCGTATTCCCACTTCAGAGACCTGGTCCGAACTAGAATCGTGCTTGGGCTATACTTTATTTTGTGAGACGATATAGCACTTCATCTTGTGTGTGCATTGATGCTATCTCATTGTCATTCTTATGTACAAGATTCTCCGCGAATACATCACAGTCATGTTAGCCTTAAAACTTCCGAACATAGCACATCATCGTCACATCATTTCATAAGTCAGATCCCATATATAAGCGTCAAAAGCTCCGAAGCCTGCCAAGAGTTTCGAAACTGGTCATCAATTGTCATCCCATTCGCATCCCAACCAATTCAGTCATAAATTGCCAGCAAGCATATATATCCAAATTCCGTACGTTATCGACATGAAGCCCGGTACCCTGTAGGACGACAACTTCACATGAACATTCCAGCCACTCCGATAAACATACCGAAGAGAAGGTCCTCGAGGCTGGAAGTGCGTCTGGGTCCTGTCGCTCGGTTCTCGTAAACGCCGGTGGTGTAGGCCGCGCAGTATCCGATTTCCAGGCCATGGCAAGCCTCCAGACTGAGACTAGAGCATGTCGACATAGCTGCTGAGACGCCTGCCCGGGTCGTCCCCGAACCGCCGTCTACGGCAACCGTCACTGCATACCCGCCCCCGAGCTGTGACAGACAGCCAGTATACTCGCTCTGACATAAGGAGTAGTAGGATGTGCAGACCTGGGCATTGGCGAACGAGGTCGGGATGACGACGAATGGGTAGGCGGCGGCGAGAGTTGAGCCTGTGAGAGTGACACTGGTCGGCCCGGCGGTGGTTTGCGTAGCGCTTGCTGTCTGAGGGAATCGGAAGCTACTAGTAGAACCTCCGACCACGACTACTCCGGTGCCAGTGGCAGAAAGCGTCCCCGTGCAGCTAGCTCCGGTCGGGCAGCAGGCGATATTGTTGGCATCGTCGCGAGTACAGATGGTATTGTCCCTGCAGCAGATATCGGAGTGGCCCAGCTTGGAACAAGTGTCATAACCGGAGGGACAGTTGCCGTCTCGCTTTCTGAGAATCTGCAGCACCTCGAATGCTCTGTGTCTAGACTCTGCAACTTGGGGCTGCGAGAATGGCAGTGTCTCGATCGAAGGTGCTGCTGTCTCTATCGATAAAGCCGTCGAGGCGAGGAATGCGACCGAGATCCACCCGAAAAGCTTCATTCTGGAGGGGCTAGGGCTGTTGTGCGCCCGCCAAATCGTATCGAGAATGGATGTGTAGCGTGGATTTAGGACTGTGAATTGGTGCTCACAATGGCTGCCGTTTCGCGATCAGTGTAGGTACCTTCGACTTTGATCCGATGCGATAGTTGCAGAGCGATCAACAAACTTCTCGAAGCGGCCGAGACGATCTATAGATAAGGGAGAGATTAGCTATCGCTGAAATGGGGTTCATAGCAAATTATGAACTCAACCAGGCTTGTAAAAGGAAGACTCACAAGGTGACTGACTGAAAGTAAACCCTTCACCTTCTAGCCTATGAATTGGAGCAATCAAGTCTGCAGCGGATCAGGGTGGGTGATGGAAAGCTGGCGCTGCATCTTCCGGCCGTTCAGGCAGCGGCGTCTCCACTAGAGACTAGTAGAGTTCCCCTGCCACAGCAACGGACCGGCGCCCGCGGTGGTTTCTAATCCCGGGCCTCCTCCTGCCGCCCATGTTGGAATAATAATGGAGCCCGCTTGTTCTCCTATTTTTGGCCAAGTGAATCATCCTACGGAGTACTCTAGGTACGGGACGGTGTGGTCAGGAAACGCCCTGGGTGTCCGCCGGTGGCCCCTTCGCTCCCTTGGCTAATGGATGATGTGGATAATGTCTGCTCCATTACCAACGATCAATCGATAGGCAGGGTCCTGGTGATGTCATTCCTATAATCCTAATCTACTACATACTGAGCATACTCCATCCCATACCTACGTACCTCCAACCTTCCCCACACCATAAACCACTCGAAGCGATACACTCAAGAATTGGTTGCTGTACGCTGCCTGCTAAATTCAATCACACGAAACTTATTCCATTGCTCGCTTGGATTCCCAATCCAGCGTGTCAATTCGAGGGTTGTGATCGTACAGGTCGAGAAAGATGGTCAGGCATGTGACTGGGGAGCGGCTTGTCGATTCATATGTGAGATGAACACGAAGGAGCCTTACCTCCCAGCTCCAATAATCTGCGCACTTTACTCCCTGCCACTCATGCTTTAACTGGCACATTGATAAAGACACCCACGCTGCTAACTGGCAGAAAAAACCCACCCCCCTAGCTTGGACCAGCATGTCTTCAATCAGCGAACCTACTCCCATGACAATCCCCATCGTGGATTTTAAAGCATGGTTCAACACTGAAGATGAAGCCGCCCGCCGACGGGTTGCACAAGAGCTTGTGGAAGCATGTCAGCGAGTCGGCTTCGTTTACATCATCAATCACTCTCTGCCTGAGCATGTCCTCGACTCGACCTTTGACTGGATGAGATGCTTGTTCGAGCTCCCGAAGGACATTAAGATGCAAGCACCTCATCCTGAGGGGTGGGCAGTGCATCGAGGATATTCCTGGCCGGGATTGGAGAAAGTTTCCCAAACCATCAGCACTGGGGACGATGAAGAGACACGGCAGAGGCTGAGAGAAGTGCCAGATGTCAAGGTGTGTCTGATGGTTCACCGTATCGACCCTGCATAGTCCCTTGAAGCAGTCCTAGAATGTTATATCTTAACGGCGTTGGACTCTTGTAGGAAATTTACGATATTGGAAGTGAAGGGAACACTGCTCAACCAAACCAGTGGATCCCCGAAGAGGCATTGGCGGGCTTCCGCAGCTTCATGAATCGGTTTTACTGGGATTGTAACGGGGTGGGCATCGAGATTCTCCGCGCTCTTGCCCTTGGCTTGAACCTGGACAATGAGAATCATTTGGCCCAAAAGCACTCAGGCCATAACAATCAGTTGCGACTCCTACACTATCTCCCGGTTCCAGCAGATGATCTTGAAAAAGATCGGGTAGCTCGATGCCCTGCACACACCGACTGGAGCTCAATCACAATGCTTTTCCAGGATGATTGCGGTGGCTTAGAAGTGGAAGACATCTCTCAGCCGGGCAACTTTGTCCCCGCTGCTCCTGTCAAGAATGCAATCGTCGTGAATGTTGGAGATCTCTTGCAGCGATGGAGTAATGGTTGGTATCTTTCTCTTGAACTGTAGATTATGCTGACTCGTACAGACCGTCTTCGGTCTACCAATCACCGGGTCAGACTCCCGCAGTTATCCGATCGCTTTGAGGGCAGTAATCGTATGACGCGCGAACGCTTTTCCATTCCGTACTTCATGGCTCCAGACCCTGATTCGGTCATCGAGTGCATTCCATCATGCATGAGTGAGGATGAACCGGCCAAGTACGAGCCGATCACTCAAGCAGGCTACAATCAGATGCGAGCATCGATGATGTATTAGGTTTGATTCAATTTGAAACAACATTGAGCGCAAATCTTCAACCAAGGTCATTTCCACTACTAAGAAGTAGAAGATACCGAACTACTCCAAGCTATTAGCCCTGAACCCTACCTCGGGTCCTTAAAAAGTAATCAACTCTCACCGCCTGAGACTATGCCCAATCAGAAACGGGAGCCTCCATGCGTTCATCAGCGACAGCAACAGCTTAAGTTTGGAGGCCCGTAATCAATCATTTACGGAGTACTATCACGAGCGACACCCCTAATACAACGTCCGACTGTAAAAGTGACGACAACGCCCTTTCAACTTACTGAGTCAAGGATCCAGTTTTCACTTCGACAAGCGCTCGAACCCCCTCTCGAAGGAGCGAGCATTAGGACCAACGCGATCTACCCCTCCCTCCTCCTACCCCTCAACTCCGACATCAACCATCATAATGTCCATCCCCAACGAAGCTCTGCAGAAGGTCAGTTACGAGTCCGAAGCTCCAAACCACACACCTTCATCGCAACACACTGAACCAACACCTTGACAGATTCTGCAAGAAATCGAGGCCCAGGCCATCAGCTCCCAACAGCAATTGGGCATCACCAAGGCTCAGATCACCACCAAACAGCGTGACATCCGCATGCTCGAGCTCACATCCAAGGAGATTGGAGACCTACCCAAAGAGACGCGTGTGTATGAGGGTGTTGGAAAGATGTAAGGCTCCCGCTTCCCACTGATGCCGTGCATCTTTCCGGTATTCAGGTAGGCGGATGGTTTACTATCTGCCTACGGGGACATCCACCGCCTTCACTTCTCTCGGGCTGTTCAATAAACATCCCGAATTTCCCCTCTAGTGACTTCGCAACTATATGATGCACTGACTAACCATCTGAATTATCGCAAACAGGTTCGTCGCAGTCCCCATTCCCACCATCGACAGGCGGATATCCAGCGAGAGCAACGAGCTCAAATCCGAGATCACGGGATTGGAGAAGAAATTACATTACTTGGAGATGACGCATAAGAATAGCCGGGAGAACTTGGAGCAGATCTTGAAAGCCGGGCGCGCTTGATGAGCTGCAGCTTGTCTATACTTCATCAGAACAAAATCGGGCGCTGTGGTGTCTTTTCGTCTTCTCGCTTCTTGTGGATACTTGTTCAATTATTATACCTTTTTTTCCCGGCAAAACGACTGTGTCTGTGTGAGATCAGGTATGCGATGTACATGATGGAGGGATTTTGAGGAGATTTCGGAAGGGCAAAGACCTATCAGTTCCGTTTATCCTCATGGGCGGAATTCACGCCATCCACCAGGTGGTGAAGATAAAAGGAATTGACCAAGTAGGTAGGACTCGATGCCGGTGGGATGGTTTTTTGCCTGCGGATAGGATGATCTCACCTCAATCACGACACTCAGGACCAGGGACGCGGCTGGAGCGGCAAACCCCATCCTTGCTGGGACACAGCATGTGTATGTCTCAGACCATGCATATCCGAGGAGAAGCATTGAAGGATTGGAAGAATGACAGCAGCCACTGCATTCTCTCACCTCACTCGGTGGGCCTGCTTGCTGCTTTGCTTGCCGATTGCTCGACCATTCGAGACGGAAGTGCCCAATTCGCCATCGCATTATCCATTCAGACCATCGCTTATCGGTGTGGATGGCTCTTTATCCATGTTCGTCGTTCCAATATCAGGCTCTTTCAAATATAATAGGTCGGTATAATACGGCGGGTTAAGCGTCAGGATGCATACATTTACCCTGGAGCTTACTTGGCTCAGGCCACCAGTAGCAAGCAGCGTTCTAGACGTTTTCGAGGGCACACTCATGTCGGACAAGTAACATGCATCCTGTGTATCGAGGGCGAACATCGATATACCTCGTAAGCAACCTAGCACGAAAGATCCATATGTCAACTCGATGTCTTATCTCCTTATCGGTTGCATGAATATGCATCGTGGGCAAAAGTACCTTCTTGTGTAAGCAATGATGGATGACTGTCAGCTCGGATGGACTTGTTCAGGGTCATACAAGATGTCGCATTCCATGATCATGGCTGATCTCTTGGTGAGGCGATCAGACAATTGCACTTGGTGGAGTGTAGCAGTGTCCCGACCGGTTACTCGTACTCGACTTCGAAGCAAGCGCGGTGCAGGCGGCATACCGCTCACGTTCATTTGCAGGCTCAGCTCCATGAATCCGAGAAGTCATATCGATCTTTGGGCGCTGCAACACTCACTACGACTGAAGCAAATCGACCCATTAACAACATGATTCCGATCGATGAAAGCTCGCTCTTCCGGTCCAGGTACGAATCATGGAATACAAGGTGATACAGAAGTACAACCAGGAAGCGAGGTGACACGAGCTGTCTTTGCTATTCATAGCTTTAAAAAGCAAAGAAAGAAAACAAGACCACCAAGGAGATGATAGCATGACGATCGCCCCTTCAGCTGCGGCAGTTGGTTTCGATCCCGGGGAATCCAACAGCCAATTCGTCGTCATATGTCTTAGAATTGCACGACTGAAAGAGCACAGTCACCACCCCGCGCATCCTTTGTCTTGCTCAGCCTCAAGACCATAGCCCTCAAGGATGATGCTTAGTCGGATGCTCTGCGACACCCTCCCGATGAAACCATGGCCCACATTATCCATCTGAGTTCAGCCGTCGGTCGACTCTAGCATGGCACGTACAGTACAGTACATAGCAGCACATGGCGTCTAGTGCACTGATCCTTGTGCAAATCTACCTTCAGGATACATAACGCCACTAGACATCCCACTTCTAGAACAGACGCTCTTGCCGTCGACACATTCTCGGCGATGATAGAATCACTTTCAACGTCCTAAAGTTTGTGAAGATGCGGGGCGAAAGAACCCAAAAAAAGGAAAATGACATGTAAATCATTTCCTTTTCTCCGCTGCTCCAACAACACGACGCCGCTCACCCAGCCTCCTTCCCGGGGGATTTCCTTGCATCCTGCATGATGATGGGGACGAAAGACCCTCTTTCCTCCGCGGGATCGACTGGCATACATACGTACCGGTCTCTCGGCCTTGGAAACAAGAATAGTAAAAGGCTATCTATTTGTTAGGTTTCAGCCGATCCAGACCAAGATTGCCTGACAGCCCGGCATCATAGCTGCAGACCCTCAGCAATCTAGCCTAGGAACAGCCAGGACGCCTGAAGACGGATGGGAGAAAGGGTATAAATAGTCCCTGATTCTCGGTCTGCTGCAAGGAGAGATTTACTTGGAAAGCAGCAAGACAAATTTTCCCCCCTTCACGACCGATTCTATAACGAAGTCTATTGACCAACCACGGGTCTATCAGCGTTGAACAATCTGACAATATCGATCCTCGATCAAGCACCATGCAACTCTCTCTTTACATTCTTACTGCCCTGAGCGTGGGTACTGCCACTACTCTGGCGGCTCCTTTCCCAGGGACAGAAGTCAGTGCACAGAGTTCTGCCACATATCATTGGCACGGCTGTGGCTCAGTCGGCAGTGTATGTTCTTTCCCCTCGAATCTCCGGGGTGGTTGCTTTACTAACGATCTATGAACAGTGCTCTAGCGATGGCGATTGTCAGGTTGACGAGAACTGCCTGAGCATGGCTCAGAACGTACGTCTGGAAGACTCTGTGGTTCACGTTTCTTTGGCAGCACGAGGTCACTAAACGGATTTTTTATATAGGAGACTAGTCATGTCCACTGCGGACAGGAGAACCATCCCACTGCATGCTGGGCCGTAAGTGCCATTATTTTCTATATCATCTCTTGGATTCTCCGCTGATCAATTTCACTTCTGTTGGTAGGAGTGGTTTGAGTGAATCGAAGATTGAGACCGTTTACGCCAAGGATATACGCCAGATTGATGGATATAATGCAGCGGATGGATATAATATGGGTAATATGAGTCTATGGAAGGCCTCAATAATGACGACGATAATGGAAAAGTCTACTTGTTTCCCTTCTTCCTGTCCTTCTTTTGTCATCTCTTTTGACTGGCAGGCCGAAGAGCGCGCCATCTCAACATCCACGTTTTCCCATACGAAAGCCCACACATAGCATAATGTGTCAGTGCTGATAGAATGACAAGACATGACAACCAATTTCACATCCGTTATGATGACGTCGCACAGCCACTTATCGATGTACTCGTAGCGAAGTTCAAGCCTTTCCGAATCCGAGATTGCGGCCGTAGACCAATCTAAAAACACTATCTGATCGATAGATGATTTGGGCTGCAAAGCGAAGCATCAATTGAACTGTTTTTCGCCTCCTCCTTTCCACAACCACACTGCTACGTACTGCTGTGCGGTGTTCCGTACATTCCGAAATGATCTTCGCGACGGGGGATGGATGGTGGATGCCAGACAAACACCGAGGAAGGATGGCAAGAGATCAGGCAGCTTCCCCCCCTCCCCCCTCCCCCCTAGGTATCCAGATCCCGGACGGCTCATTGGTGACAGAAACCCGATTCAGGGTGGCGGTGGCCATAAGTAGGTACTGTATTTGCTGTCCCGACTCTACGTGTATTCCCAATTCTCGCCTGCTCTATACCTTCCGGGTGATTCGTATCGGATGCGTGGAGGGACCAAGTGCCTTCGGGTTTTGATGGTTGATCGACAAGGGACTAGCTTCAGATTAATGGAGTCGGGATGAGGCTGTGGCTGGTGGTGTTGGGGGCCAAAGACATGACATGACAATTGTATGATCAATTTACTGTACCGTACAGAGTAAATTGGGACTGTGGCTCAGTCAACTTGGAACAGGGCTTGGTTTCGCAGTGCACACATGCTCCGTGACCGCAACTCAAGGCAGCCCGGTCAGGTGTCAAGTGGCTGCGACCGTGAGTTTCACTATTCGAGCAAAACAAGAGTCACGCTGAATCGGACAATAGTCATTGGTAGGGGGGGTTAGAAGATGTACAGGTAGGTACATGTACATGTACAGCTCAGTAGTAGAGTACTGGAGAAAAATATGTGTGTTATCTGCTTCCATTCAATGATTCTGAGGGGAGAGACTCCACTCTCGGGCAGGACCAACTCACTCTTACCTTCGAAAGCCTTCGTAGCCTACAGTCACTGCTCCAGGCTGCACATAGCCTGGACTGGGTCCATCAGGTACCAGCGGAGTCCACTCTGTAAGTTAGTAGTTACCACTCGACCCTTTGGACTGTGCCCCTCTTTTTTTTTCCCTTGCTTTGGTCTCCAGGGTCCCTTTTTCTTTGCTCGCCCATGGGTACTGCAGCGGTTGTTCCCGTCCCTCTTCCCTTGGGTGAGAATATTGTCAACATCCTTTCAGTGAATATGGCTGTGTATCTGAGGAATGATTCTTTCTCTAGCCTCTGTGGTCTATCGCTGAAGGATAATGTCCTAGAATCTTCGCATGTTGCACTGACTGGAAGTTACCAGAATAAGCCACACTGCTACAGGGACATCCAGACTTGACAGCCGCCGCTAAGTGCGTTAAGTTACCCCTCCATTGAAGCCATCTGCTGTACGGTAGACCAGGCTGCGTGTAGTATACTCTTATTTTGGAGGCTTGTAGTTTCCATGGATCAGCCCTACCAATGTAAGGTGGTGTGTGGACTGGAGCATGTTATCGAAGGACAGACAATACAGTTTTCAAAGTCTTCTTGGTCTGGTCTCCGGCCTATCGTAACTGAGAACAACTGAGCCCAGGCAAAAACGACGATGACAGGTTCGGATGCCAGATGATCAATCAGCTCGGCCCAATGATGCCAATCATTCATTCTCTCCCCCACTTCAGCTGAACAAGACAGAAGGAAGGAAGACAATACTTAGAGGCACGAGGGAAGGCTTTGCACCTGCTCATTTCTTTTCTTGTTTTTCCCTTTCCTTTCTTTGCCTGGCATCTCGTCCGTCTCTTTTTCTTTCTTCCCTCTTCTTTCTTTTCCCATCAGCCCCTGGGTTTATTTATCTTTGAAGTTGGTTGTTATTGTTGTTGGCGCCGTCTCTTGCTCACCCCGCCTACCATCATTATCACCACCACTGCTATCACTACGTACTGCTGCTGTTCTCCTCCCAGCCTCCTTCCCCCTCCTCCAATTCAGCCCCGTCGACGTCACCGCCTGCCATCCAGTCATCCCACCCCCTCCTCATTCCTCTTCCCCCCCACCATCTAACGGTCTGACTTTATCCATATCCAAACACCACACAATCACAACAAGAGAACAGAAACTGTGAGCAAGTTATATTGCCAAAGGAAAAACGCAGAGGAAGAAACATAGATTTCTCGCAACCAAGAACCAAACAACCATGGGTTCCCGTCGACGTCACGTCCTCCTCACCGACTCCGAATCGGACTTCTCCGAATCGGATATCTCGATGGTCGAGTACCCCGGCCGCAAGGTGAGCCATCGTCACCGCTCCGTCTCGCGGCACCGGCACTTCAGCCCGGAGTACAGCAGCAGCAACGCCTACCTCAGTCCCGTCCTGCACAGCGACGCACAGCAGCAGCACCTCCACCGCTCCGCCTCGACGGGCGCCCGCCGCCGCCCCGACCGTCACCACCGCGACCACAGTCAGGCCCCCGTGGCCGTCATCGTCGACGTCAACAACCACAACGACACCAAGTCGGACAACAAGACCGACACCAAGACCGACGCCAAGACCGACTCCCGCAACAAGAGCGCCACCAAGCAACGCAAGGCCGAGCACCGCCTCAACAACACCTACAACATCGACTACGACGACTCCGAGGATGAGACGAACCTGCGCGCCCACCGCCGCCGGCCGCGCTCCAGCACCGCCAGCATCTCCCGCGAGGCGTCCCCGCGCGCCCCCGCCGTCGGGGCGCCGCAGATGATCCCCGCGGGCCGCGACCGGGACTTCGAGCTCGTCATCGACCAGCGGCTGCTGGAGCGGAACGACGCCCGCCAGGACCTGGAGCTATTCCGCCAGCAGCAGGAGATCGAGCGGCTGGAGCGCGAGCTGGCCCGCCACCGCGAGGTCCGCGAGCACCAGCAGGAGTACCGGCCGCACCACGAGGTGCGCATGCTCAAGGAGGAGGAGGACTGGTACGAGGACGAGATCAGCGAGCGGCTGCGCCGGCTGGAGCGGTTCGAGAAGAAGCAGCGCATGGAGGAGGAGCAGCGCCAGGTCGAGCATCGCTACAAGCTGATCAAGTTCGAGGAGGCCCAGCGCCAGGCCGCCGAGCAGGAGGAGCTCAACCGCAAGATGCGCCAGAAGCGGCTCGAGGACCTGCAGCGCAAGATCGACGAGGAGGAGGAGCGCGAGCGCATCAAGAAGGAGATCCGCGACGAGGAGGCCCGGCGGATCCTCGCCGAGCAGGAGCGCGCCCGCAAGGAGGCCGCCATGAAGCAGGCTGCCATCGACGAGTGGAAGCTGAACGAGGAACGTCGCATGATGGCGGAGCGCGAGGAGAAGAAGCGCCGTGATCACGAATTCAAGGAGAGATTGAGACTCGAGTTCGGCTACAATGAACACGAAATTGAGGAGATCCTCCGGAAGAAGGACAAGAAGGAGAAGAAAGAGGAGAAGAAGGAAGAAAAGAAAGAGGAGAAGAAGGAGGAGAAGAAAGAGGAGAAAAAAGAGGAGAAGAAGGAAAAGGAGAAGCTTCCGGAGCCTGAGCCACACCAGCGCACCACCTGGATTAAGGTATACCTCCTCCCCTTGCAAAATACCTGACTATAAAGCTGACCGACTGGCATTAGGTTCACCGCAAGCATCTGCTCCCTGATACACTGATTGCCTATCGCCTTCCATGGGACTGGGACGATGTACGTTAGCCCCTACAAGAACCCGACACTCACATATATTACTACAATGCTAACTACCCCTTCCCATCACAGCTCGACAGCAACTACATCATCATCAAGCAATGGATCTCCGAAGACTTCCAGGAAGAGCTCTTCGCCCACACGCGGCGCTTGCGCGAAGGCAAGCTCGTCACCCAAACCTCCAGCACCCTCACCGAGCTTAAGGTCAACGACAAGAAGAAGGACAAGATGTACCTTGTGAGGAAAAAGAACCCCGGTGGCCGGGCCTGGATTCTTACCTGATCTCGAGCTACAAGCCACCACCACACCACCTGATAGAACAAAGCACACACACACGCCCGCCGCCCCTTCTAACTGCTTGAAATTATGATACCATGATCTTGTCTTAACGTCTGTCACGAAATTCGGTATCATCCAGCCGCCATCTTCTTTCTTCTCTGTCATGTTTCTCCTTTTTTCTTCTGCTTTCTGATAGCTCTCTTGTCAAGTCTGTGATACAGATCCAGAGTCCAATTGGGGGGTGTCAGGATGCTATCTATGTCAAGTCCAGTATTTTCTTGATTTCCATTTTGTCATGAGTTGGGATTTTGAATGCCTTTTTTTCCTAGTCTTCCAAAGGAGTTGAACATACGATATGATACATTTGCATGTGATGCAGAGAGTGAGTGAGTTGTCGAGCCCTTTCATCTATATAATTCGTAAGAGGGAAAGAGATTCCGTTGAGGGGAGGGTAGAAAGGGGGGGAAGAGACCCTCCCCCCTCCTTAGAGTATCATTTTTGTGATGGTAATCATGAACGTGATTCTCCCTGCGCGGCCCACTGCACCTCAGCGCGCAGGATCAGCTCCTCGTACACCGTCCAGGCGAGCGCGGAGCTGAGAGCCTTCCTCGTGATGCGCAGCCCCAGCCCGCCGAACAAGCTCCGCACCCCGTCCTCGCGGACCATCAGCCTCGCCGCCCGCATCATATTGCCGTACCGGCCCGGCATGAGCTGCAGGCGCGTCTTGACCGCATCGAACGGATTCGTGATCGCGGTGGCCAGACCCGCAGCCAACCCCCCGGAAACAAAATTGATCGACGAAGACGAAGTGGACCGCAGCGGCGGCTGCTGCTGCTGTTGCCCCTCCGCGGCGGCGGCGGCGGCGGCGGCAGCGCGACTACTCGCCAGCGCGGCCAGATGGCGCTTCAGCTGCTCGTAGAACAGCACATAGAGGCCGGCGTAGGGGGCGTCGCGCGCGGCGGTGGCGCCGAAGCCGCTGAACAGGCCGCGCACGCCCTCGGTGCGCACGATGTCCCGGCCCGCGCTGAGCAGGCTGCGGTAGGCGTAGAAGTCCGACTCGTAGCGGACCTTGAGGACGGTCACGGGCATCATGACGAAGCCCGCGGCCACGCGGGCCGCGGCGCCGGTGGCGAGGTTGGCGGAGTTGGAGAGCTTGGGGAGGGCGGAGGAGGAGGAGGATTTGCTGGTTGTGGGGTTGCTGCTGCTGGGACTACTGGCAAGGACGAGGGGCATCTGGGTCTGGGCCAGCCCTTGGCGGAGGGCGTTCAGGCTGGTGAAGTACAGGGCGGAGCCGAAGCCCGTGCGCAGGGCCGAGGGGAGGGTGCCGCGCCATAGGCCGCGGATTGGGTGCGGGGAGGAGAGTATCGCCTGGAGGGTCGGGAGGAGGGAGGCGCTTTGCGATTGCTGCACGCGGGTCTTGAGGAGGTCGGCCGGCTGCAGGAGGATGGAGGAGGTGAGGCCCGAACAGAGGCCGGCGGCGAAGTGGAAGGTCGTCTTGGAGGCTGGGGGGTTGTCCGGGTGGGTTAGTGGGCAGACATGGTTATTTGCTTATAGGCAATTTTGGAGGAGGTGGGGGGAGGGGGGTGAGGCAGGGCTTGGTCTGGTGTCACTGAAGGCGCAGACTCACGCGTGGAGGTCGTTTTCACCTGCGTCACCGCGTAAGAGGCATTGTTCGACATGTCTATGGAGGTCTCCCTCGGGTCGGTCCTGGGGAGGGCCTTCGATGCGGTAGAGGGTTGTTGGGTGTTTTGGTGTAATTGGTATGCGCAAAGCCTCAGTTCATTGGAAACTCGAGGGCGGCGAGGGTTCTGCGTGTGAATCGATGGAGAATTCCGGGAGTCCTAGACAAGCCGCATCCAAGCGGTCACATTCACGTTGATAGAGGCAATGACAACATTTCAATCGATACACAGAGAAAGAAATAGGCTTCGCGGGCAAGAGATAGGACGAAGGCGGAGGAAATTCCGCCTGAAGCAAGTCAGGTACAAAGTTCCAACAGCACAAAATAAAATCAATGAAGAAAAAAAAGGAAAGACGGTGTAGAATGGATGGGAAGAATTGCACGGGCACGTTCACAGAGAGGGCTCTCTCGGGAAGGGCCTCGGACGGACATTTTGGACCCATCCAATTTTCCTGAAGCGGCCAAAAGCGGATCCGCTGGTGGGAGCAAGTGAAGTCATCAGTCACTGGCCCCGGAAAAGCAGGCTGATTGGCGGATCCGCACTCTCTACTTGCCCGCACTCAGTGCCGTTCACTGTTCACTGCAGTGACTGTTCTTCCCGGGTGACCCGCGCAAGGAATGGATGGATCGCATTGCAGCTTAAGCTTATTATTATTATCTCCAGATTGACGGACAATAAAGGTTTGAGATTATCACAAAGGGCCAGTAAGTAACTAGTGCCATGGCTCTGGGATTCTCAATGCACTTGTACCGTACATTGTACTCAGTACTCTTCACGGTTCTACTGTGATTATGATAAGTGAGGAACTATGTTGCACCAGTTCCGACCCGGGCGTAGACCTCGTGTACAGTACCAGTACCTTTCCTATGGTCTCACTCGCAATCTAGTTACGCCTCTCCTCTGCCTAGCATCCAGCCACCAAAGCTTCTTTAAAGCAAAGCTAAACACCTTTCCTGGATATCCTAGACAATCCGTACAATGGAGCGATCTGATATGCCTCGAGCACTGGACGGATGGCAACCTTGAAAGACGATTGTCTCACCCAGAGCATGCGCTGCGGGAGAAGGGCTGAGCGCAGAAGAATGTTGCCTTATCCTCACAAAACATTCACTATTGCTGGAGAATAAACCGACCATTTATCTGGCCGGGCCAATCGGCAGGCAATGAAAGCAGCCTGACAGTCTGACTGGGCCGGGCGCAGATCAACTGTGGTTGTCGATCGACGTCACGGGTCTGAGAGGAGTCAAGAGAGGGAAGAGAGAGGGAGAGTGTGTGTGGAAACTGGAGACTCAGCTGGGACTCGGGCTTTCCAAGGCAACTCCAATCTGTCAACCTTGGCTTTCACTTTTAACAACCCTTCTTTTTTTTTTCTTCTTCTCTCTCTCTTTTTTCCGATTCTCATAACTGCCATGCTCTTCTACCTATAACCCAGGTTTCTACACAGTTTCGTCGACTTTGAGAGCTTGTCGCAGCCCCTCTTCCTTGCGGAGAGCTTCTCTCCTCCTTCTCCTCCGTCCATCATGTCTCGATGGGCTTTCCTTCCGAACATTCCGTATCCGCCCTCGAGGCCGGGATACTGGAGCCCCGTCACATCCACCCTGAACTGGTGTGAAGAGGTTCGTCGCCATGATCTGGTCGCCTATCTGAGGATTACATATAATGCTAACAGGTCTCTTGCATAGGATTACTATGCTACGATTTACTCCGCCGAGATCGTCAACACGCTGACAAACCTCCTGTTTATGTGGCTCGGGATCAAGGGCATTCGCAGCTGTCGTCGCAACGGACATGACAGGATCTTCGAAGTCGCCTACTACGGCTACCTCGTGGTCGGAACAGGCAGCTTTCTTTTCCACGCAACGCTGAAATGCAAGCCAACCTTCCTAACCCCACACCCATACACACCGAGCTGAGGACTGACCGGTTTCCTCTCCGCACAGATCCCATGCAGCTGGTGGACGAGCTGTCCATGATCTACACCACCTGTCTGATGTGCTATGCCTCCTTCTCCTACTCCAGACCCACGCCCTTCCGCATCCTCCTGGCCTTCCTCCTGGCCGGCCTGGCCATCTTCATCACCCTCTACTACCACTACCTCCAGGACCCCGTCTTCCACCAGAACGCCTACGCCCTCCTGACCACGGTCGTCGTCCTGCGCAGCATGTACACCATGGAGGTGACCCTGCGCCCGCGATGGCGCCACTCCACCGAGGCGGACCGGCTCGCGCGCGAGCGACAGGGCTTGCTCGTCCCGACCAAGGAACACCAGCACTACGAGAACGTCCGGGATACGAAGACCCTCAAGACCATGTGGTTCATGGTGGCGTACGGCCTCAGCATGTTCTTGGGCGGATTCGGGATCTGGGGCTTGGACAACGTCTTCTGTTCGAAGATCCGCGGATGGCGCCGGGAAGTGGGTCTGCCTTGGGGGATCCTTCTTGAAGGCCATGGATGGTGGTACGTTTCTTGTTGATCCTTGGCGTGTCGTGCCAGGTGATTTCGAAATGAATGCCTAGAAAGAATGCTGACTTGGATCTTATTTAGGCACTTGATGACGGGGTTCGGCGCGTATCTGTACATCATCTGGGGCATCTGGCTCCGTCATTGCCTGAACGGTCGCCAGGAGGAGTATCATCTGTGGTGGCCCCACGTCTGGAATTTCCCTGAGGTCATTCGCACGAGCGACAAGGGTAAGAGTGAGAATGGCGCGGCCAAGAAATCGAACTAGATCGGGTATATCTTTTCTTTTCTTGTTTTATTGTTTTAGATCAGCCGCTTGGTAGTGTGATCCGAGCACTGGGAAGTGAGCCTTTCGTTGTCTGTGGTCTTGTGCTAAGAGAACTGTGCTGCGGACTGGGACCGTGCTCATTGCCGTCATCTCGGCTACGCTCTTGGGACCTTATACTACTTATAGAAGTAAAATGAACCACATCCAATTGCTAAGCGAGACATCAGTCCATGTTCCTGGTGAAAATAGCCTACTGTACATATACAGTATATAATCTCTAGCGCGCGAATCAACATAGTCATCTATGGACAAAGGCAATCACGCCATCCCTTATAACTTCGACTCAGGCGCAGCCTTCTTAGGCCTCTCCGCCCTGGGAACATGCTCCTTCCACCGAGCATCGATGGTGACCTTCTCAACCTTCGACTTCTTATGCCACCGCTCCCGGAAGGCCGCCTCCTCGGCCCGCCACCGCTCCAGCTCGCCGCCGAGCCACTCACTCGCCGCCTCGGCGCACTGCCCCGGCGCCTCCTGGGCCAGCAGATGCCCAAAGTCCTTCAGGTAGACCTCGCGCACCCGGCCCGCCGCCACCCCTCCACTCCCGCCGAGCCCCGTCCCCGTCGCCCTCAGCTTATCCGCCATCATCTCCGGCAGACACATATCCGACCTCCCCGCGAAGACGTAACAGACACTCGGCCGGAGATGCGGCAGCATCGCGAATACCCGCGACGGCTCCGGGCGGTAGAACGGCCACGACCCCAAATGCTCCGGGTTCAGGTCCGGGTGCGTCGTGCGGTCCACGGGGACTTTCCGGCCGGGCGGTCCGTCGTAGTTGGGCCGCGAGAAC